GCTCAGAAGTAAATAGAGAGGATGGGTGGGGCTGGGGAAGGTAGGTGGGATGGTGATAGGTGAGTGCATGTAGGTAGTGATCGGGATCGGTCAGTGAGGTCGGAGTGGCGGATAGGTGAGAGAGATGGACAGGTTGTGTCTGATCAAGGAGGCAGGGATGAGAGGGAGGGTTGGTCATGGGATGAGGCTGGGGGGTGGGGAGATTTTGAAACTGGTAAAGTACACATTTAGGTCGCTGGGCTGTAGGCTCCCCCGGTGGAATATGAGGTGCTGCTCCTCCAGTTTGCAGGTGGCATCATTGTGACACTGGAGGAGGCCCAGAATGGACATGTCACCCAGGGAGTGGGAGGAGGAATTAAAATGTTTCACGACCGGAAGGTGTTGCTGTTTGTCACATACAGAGCGCAGATGCTCTCCAAAATGGTGTCTGCTTCGTCTCACCGGTGTAGAGGAGGCCACATCGGGTGCAACGGGTGCAGCAGATCAAGTTGACGGATTTGTAGGTGAAATCATGTCTGATGTCGAAGGATTGTTTTTTGTTTAACTGGGATAAAGTAATCACAGTAGACCAAGCCAAACATAGACACACACGGGAATTCATAGATGCATGGTTCTCCACCCATACTTCAATCAATAAGCGTGTAGAATTGGACCTCATATACAAACCCATACAAATCAAAACTGGAAATGACAGTACTCACCATAACGGACTGGCCAGTATAAATTCCAGGTGGAGGAGAATAACATCACTTCATCAGAGGCCTCTCTGATGATGTTACCTAGCATAGTGACGAAACATCTGAACAAAAACAAGCCAGCTTGGCAAGCAAGTCAACAATCTCATTAACCATTATGTCTGGGTCCTTGTACATAAATCACAGAAAGCTAATGTGGTTTCGCCATATTTGGAAGGACAACTGATGGTACCAGTTACTACGGGGTGATGGGACGAAGAATAGGAGGATGTCTTGCTGCGATTGTACATGGGTTTGGAGTAGCAAATGGACACCAGGAACCAACTCAAAAAGGCTAGCAGATGTTTGTGGCAATTTACAGATATTCTGGGAGAGATAGAGAGAGAAGAAAAGGCAGACACACGCATACACATTGACTAAGGAACCTGGAGTGACAGAAGGATATTTAGTATCTAATCAAGTCAATCTGAGATTTAAAAATTAAACATTTCACCGGTAAAGATATGTTAGAAAATACATTGTGAAGTGAATATAAGGAGTCTGCAAATCATGGAATAAATAGTCACAACAGATTCTGGTACTCGGTCCGGAAGCTGGGCCCACTCTGTTCACCAGCAACTCCCTATTACCCCACTCCCATTCTGTTGCCATTACAACAGTGCCCTGTCCATCTCTTGCACTGTTCCCCTGGCAACAGTTTCCAAGACTGCTCCCATCAGATTTATCTGAAAACTGACTCTTGTCCTCTCCTTCCTCTGTTCCCCAAGAAACAGTCTCCAGTTTCACTCCCATCTTGTTCACAAACAACAGTCTCACTTCCCATACCTACTCTGTTCTCAGAGAAACTGCCTCTGGCCCCAATGCCACCATATCCCACTCTATTACCTTAGCAGCAACCTGTGGTCCAATCCCACATTTTTTCTGAGCAGCATCTACTGTCCCAACCCCACTCTGTTGCCCTAGCAATGACCCATTGTTCTACACAAGTTCTGCACTCCTGGCAATGTCTTCCTGCCTCCCGTTACTGTCGTGTGAGTAATGGCCAGTGGCCCATTGCACACTTTTCCTGTAGTAATGGCCAAGGAACTGACCCCCACTCCGTTTGTTAGGAATGGGGCTTGAGGCTCCACTCGTACACTTGTTCCCTACCAATAGCCTCTGGCCTCACCCCACGCTGTTCCCATAGCAACAACCTGTAGTCCTACTCTGAATCTGCTTCCATAATAATGACATTCAACCTCACTGAACAATGGGCACCAGACCCAACCCACACTCTGATCCCCCAGTAATGATCTACTGCAATATCCCCAGCCGACTTCCTTAACAACAGACTGTGTCCCAGTCGCCACTTTGTTCCCTAGCAATACCTGCATCCACAACTCCCCTCTGCTCCCCTACCAACAGCTCACTCTGTTTCTCAAGCAACTACCTGCGCCCCGAATCCTACACTTTTCCTCTAGTGAGGATCAGTGGTCCCACCCTCACTCCATTCCCATAGCAATGTCCTGTTGTTCCACCCACACTCTGTTCCCTTAGCAGCGGTCAGTGGTCCCATACCCAATCTGCTCCCCAGCAATGGCCTGCAGCACCACCCCCAAATATGTTCCCCGAGCAACAGCATGCTGTCCCACTCCCCACTTTTCCCCTGGCAACATCCTGTGGTCCCACTCTGACTCTATTACCCTAGCAAATGCATGTGGCCTCTCCCCCATACTTACCCCTAACAATACCCTGTGGACTCTTGGCAACTCTATTCCCCTAGCAGGCATCTGGCCCCACTCCCACACTTGTTCACCAGCAACAGCCTGTGATCCCACTCTGTCATTGATCCCCTAGCAATGACCTACTCGCAGTCTGTTCCACTCGCAAAGGCCTGGCGTCCCACAACCACTCTGTTCCCCCAGGATCGGCCTATATACACAGACCCACTCTGTTCCCAAGCAAAGACATTGTTTCCATGGCAACGGCCTGTGGCCAATCCCCACTCTGTAGACCCAGCAATGGCCATTTATCAGCCCCTCCACTGTGTGACTAGCAATGGCCTGAGATTGTACCCTCACTCTGTTCGCTAGCAACAGCATGTGTCCCCGCCCCCAATCCAAGTAATGGCCAGTGGCCCCACATTCACACTTATTCCCTGGAAAAGGCCTGTTGTCCCATAACCAATCTTTTCCATAGCAATGGCCTGCAGCCCCAATCCCACTCTTTTCACCTAGCAATGGCCTGTGGCTCCAGGGCTACTCTCTTTTCATTGCAACAGCCGTGGGCACAACCCCACTCTGTACCCTTAGAAATGGTCTGTTTACGGACCCTTCTGATCCCATAGCAACAGCCTGCAGCCCTACTCCCACACTGCTCCCCTAGCAATGGCCAGTGGTTGTACATTCAATCTGCTTCATAGCAAAATCCTTTGGACACACACCCACTCTTTTCCCCGAGCAACACTCTCTGGGCCCACCCACGCACTGATACCCCGGCAACAGCCTACAAACACACACCCACTCTGTTCCCTCACAGCACACTGTGGTCCCACTCCCACTCTGTTCTCCTAGTTCTGGAAGTTGTTCCCACCACCACTGTGTTCCCCTAGCAATGATTAGTTATCGTCCCCCATTTTGTTCCCTAGCAACGGCCTGTGGACACACCACCACTCTGTACAACTAGCAAAGGCCGGTTGTCCCCACAACCACATTGCTCCCCTAGCAATGCCCTGTTGTCCTACTCTCGTACTGTGCCCCTCGCAATGGCCCGTGATCACATGCCCACTCTGTTCCCTAGCAATGCTCCATGCTCCCAATGCCACAATCGTTGAGTAACAATCAGTGGTCCCACTCCCACACTTTCCTCCAGCAATAGCCAGTGTAAGAAATACGCACTTTTCCCTAGAAACAGCCCGTGGACATCTTGCACACTGTTCCCAATCAATGGCCTGCTGTCACAGCTCCACTCTGTTTCTGAGCCAATGGCCTGCTGCCCAACCCCAACTCTCTTTCTCTAGCAACGCCCAATGGTTTGCCATCTACACTTTTCTCCGAGGAACGGCCTGTGGACCTAGTGGCAGACTATTTCTTGAACAATGGCCTATTGGAGTCTGCATGGACTGCAGTGGTTCAAGGAAATGTCTCACCACCTCCTTGTCAAGGCGTCCTCAGTATGGGCAATGAAACTGGCCCACATTGCATCATGTCCTCTATAGACCCCTTTCCAGCTGTCTGAGCCCCCTCTCTGATCCATCAAAGCATCCAATTTAACCCACAAAGTTTACCATCTCAATCACTAAATGGTCCTCTCCTGGTCACCAGATCCAGCTGGCCAGTGTCTCCTATCTGCTCAGACAAAGGCTCCTCTTATGTCTGTCAAAGTGCAATACCATTCTGGCTAAAGGCCTGTATCCAGCCGGACTGGGCAATGGGACATCGCATTGTCCATTATGTGTAAACAGGCTCTGATTTACCAGAGGGTGTGGAGTACAAGGCTCGGAGCCAGTGAATGAGTCCATTGGAATACAAGGTTCTGTCCTTCTCACAAAGGAGCCTGGTCCACTGAAGAAACACCACCACAGGGCTGTGAGGTGTGTGTCAGTTTGACTGAAGGGCAGAGAGAGGGAGGGAGGGAGAGGAAAATGAAATTGAGAGGAAGCGAGAATAGATAGTGATGGAGGAGGAGAGAGAGATACAAAAAACCGAAAAAGGGAGGGAGGAAGAGAGATGGAGAGAGATTGAGGGAACGCGAATGACATAAAAATAATGGAGAGGAAGGATAGTAAGGAAGGTCAGAGGAAGAGAGGTTTGTAGAGAATGAGGAATTTGTAAGAAAGAGAGGGTGCTAGATAGAGATCGTGGGATGGAGGCAGTTTGAATGAGAATGAGAGTGAGAAGCACACTGAAAGAGATTGAGGAAAATTGGAGGGAGATTGCTGGAGAAGAGAGAGAGAAAGAGGGAAGGTTTGAGTTTGTGGGGAGTATGGGTGGGAGGCAAATATGAAGCGAGAGGTTCATCAGAGGTGAAAACAAGGATGGAGTGTCTGAAATCCAACTCCTGAGCTCAGCGCCGATCCCGTTCCCTTCCCTGATGAACCAGACTTGGGGCAGAGTCTGCTTCTCTCCAGCTTAGCTTCTTCAACAAATAAACAAGCAAAATATCGGCGAGTTGACAATTTTTAAAAATTGATATTTTTATTATTTACAAGTTTTACATTTTAGGTCCAGCGAGTGGAATGGTGCCTTTTTTTCACAAGGCCCTGAGTTGAGAGAAACTTTGAAATGTGTCCCTGTAACCTGTGTGATAATGTTGGACAAGGCAGGACGACCCCCAGTCTGTCACCATAGCAACAGGCTGCTTCATTGCTGAAACATTGAACTGAGATGAGAAAATCCTGGATGGATTGTTTAATGAGTAAGTTTGATTGACTGAATTTGGGTAAAGGGATATTTCAGCACATTCTTCAGCTGCTGTCTGAACTTCGTTTGGGTCACAGCATAAATTGCGGTGTTTGTGCAGCAACTGAGGAGCTGCAGCACGAAGCCTAATTCCAGCACAGAGTAATCTAGGTACACAGAAATATACCCAATATTATTCATCCGGTGCGATATAGAATACAGCATTAGCGTTGACCATAACAGGATGAAATTGGCCGAGATCACAAACAGTAAAATGATGGATTTTTTTCGAATTTGCATTTCTGTGTCACACTGACCGTCCCCATTGGTGTGAGCCCGGAGTCTCCTGCGGGCTCTGCTGGTCACTAAAATGTGTCTGACGGTGAAAACATTGAGCAGCAGAATCAGGAGAAATGGGAGAGTCGGGGTTAGAACATGGTGGAGGAACTCGATTGTGACCCAGACACGAGAAGATTGAACAGCGTGAGTTACATCACAAAACCAGGGGGTGTTCAGCAGCTGATATCGAGATCTGAGCATAAAATACCAGAAAATGTTCTTTAAACAGCTCAGCACAGTCACTGTTCCCAGAACCACAGCCGCTGTTTTCTCACTGCAATATTTACTTTTCAGCTTCTGGCAACAAATGGCTACAAATCGATCAAAGGTGAAAGTGACGGTGAACCAGACAGAACAGTCGGTGGCTGCATAAAGCAGGACGGCGTGGATGTTACACACGGGGATGTACACCAGGAAATAAAACTGTTGCGGATAAACAATGGGAATGTGCCTCAATATCAGGTCCAGGATAATGACCAGTAGATCCGCCACTGCCATGGCAACCAGGTAACGACTGACACATGGAGACAATCCACAATCTTTATAAAGCAGGATGTAGATCGTCACTACGTTAACTGTGAGGAAGGAAAACAAATAAGTTATTATTCATTCACTCACTACACACTCAGACACACATACATGAGAAGTGATGGTTTCTAGAACATTCTCACACACTGATCATTTGAAAGCAGATATGGGTCACTTCTTTACAGTTCTTTACAGTTTACAAGTGGTCAGTTATATCACATTCTCAATCTATCTTATGGAACCAGCCCAGACACCATAAACCAAGGTGACATGTCTGTTCATGGGCTACTGTGCAGATCAGGATCATGTACTGCTCAACACATCCTGACAATCTGTCCAAGTGCAAAATTGTGCAGACTACTCAGTACATTGATCGGTAAATCCAGACTAGATATCTGTCCAGCACGGGAAGTTGCGCAGTAAACACCAGTGAATTGATCTGTAAACCTGGAGCATAAACCTCCTGGTATGTAGAGCTGTGCAGATCACACCAGTGCATTGCTCCGTAACACTGCGTTAGATCACTGCCCAGCATGCGGAAACTTGCAGCTCATGCTGAAAGTAGCAGGATGTGGGGCTCCCATCCATTTACAGCTCCATATCTCCATTGTGCCATGACAAGGGGTGCTGTGGATGTGAAAACCACTGCCAGAGAGAGATGTCAGAGGGATGTGCAGATCAAGGGAGAAGGTAGTGTGCAGGCATCCTTGTCCATCAATCACTGAAGGTAAGCATGCAGGTGCAGCAGGTGGTAAAGAAAGCAAATTGGATGTTGGTCTTCATTGCGAGAGGTTTCAAGTACAGGAGTTAGACAGGGCCTTGGTGAGGCCACACCCAGAATATTGTGTGCAGTTTTGGTCTCCTTTTCTGAGGAAGGATGCTCTTGTTTTTGAGGGAGTGCAGTGAAGGTTTACCAGGCTGACTCCAGGGATGGCGGGACGGACGTATAAGGAGAGATTGACTAGGTTAGATGGTGGGACTGACGTATGAGGAGCGATTGACTAGATTAGGGTTGTTTTCGCCAAAGTTCAGATGAATGAGGGGGGATTTCATAGAGTCTTATAAAATTCTAACAGGACTAGACAGGATAGATGCAGGGAAGATGTTCCTGATGATGGATGTGTCCAGAACCAGGGGTCACAGTCTGAGGATTTGGGTAGACCATTTAGGACAGAGATGAGGAGACATTTCGCCAAAGAGTGGTAAGCCTGTGGAATTCATTACCACAGGAAGTAATTGATGTCAAAACATTGAATGCATTCAAGAGGCGGATAGATATAACACTTGGAGCGAATGGGATCAAAGGTTATGGGGAGAAAGCAGAATTAGGCTATTGATTTTGGACGATCGGCCATGATCGTGAATAATGGTGGAGCAGGCTAGAAGGGCTGAAGGGCTTCCTCCTGCTTCTGTCTTCGATGTTTCTATGAATCAGTTTAAATATCAACAAATGGGAGGAGGTTGGGACATAGAGTGAGAGGGGGAGATTGAGAGACAGTGACATGGAAAATGTGTTTACAAGTTTAACAATGACAAAATGAAAACAGTTTGATAGCATCCTGCAACAAGGGCCACAGTTTTCAGGAATGGTAGACAGTGGGTTTTTGGTATGACTTCGGATGTTGGAGAGCTTTGGATGAATATTCTTTCTGTAGCTTTGTAACTGAGAGTGGGGTCAGCAGAGTCTTTGACTCATTGGGCTGAAGCTAACAATAATTTGTCTAAGTGTCATTTTCATTGAGTTTGACAGAGGGATTGTCTGCACGAGTTTGAGCTAGTTTTCTGGTGCTGTAGTGTCAAACTCACCTTATTAACTAACTATCCCACCCCATGGTGTCCCTGTCATTCGGTGGCAGTCTGATTCCCCCATTCCTCACGGATGGATGTACTCACCAGTGCCCAGATGACCCTGAAAATTCCATGATCATTTGCGCTGATGCGATATTTAAAAAGCCAATGGGCACACGTTTCAGCTTTCTCAGTTTGGACCTGCTCTACACGGTTTATCCCAAGCATGGCAGATAAGGGGCAATTACACGACAATTTGTTGACAGGGGCCTGGCTGTCCTGGTGGATGGGTTCATAAGGAGGAGGACTTTTTTTTCCCCAGAGCAGGCCATATCACCAGACTCCTTGAGCATGGTCTGAGCTCACCACCCAGCTCAATGCAGTATCTGCATGTCCAGAAATACAGTCCAAGCCTTAATAACCTTCCCCACTCTGCTAGGATAAGTGCCACTCTCTGCTCCCTCACATTCACTGTATATATGTTATGGCACCTATCTCTAAACAAGGCTCATTCTCCACCACTCACGCTCCTGCATACAGCATCTCCCCCCCTCACCCATACAATAACACGTTTATATAATGCTCTGGAAAATGCCACCTCTAGAATTTTCTGGATTATGTTGTTTATACAATGTTCCAGATAATGTTCAAACAATTCCCAGATTCAGGAAATACCAGTCCCACTGTATATAACACATAAGAGGAAGGAGCAAAGTTGTAATTTTTCTAAATGACGTATGATTAACGTCTAGTATGAGGCCATTTAGTCCTTCAAATCTGCTCCGCCTTTCAATAATATCGGGGCCTATTTAATTGTGTCCTGAGCTCCGTGTTACAGAAACCTTCAGTCATTCAGTCCTTTGGGCTCCTGTCATTGGCCAAATGACACTCGGACATAATGTACATCAGTTTTCTTCAAGCATATGTTCAGTAGCCAGTTCTCATGAGGACAGGCACTCCAAACCATATATAAGACCAGCTTTATATTTTTATGCAATTTTAAGCTCATTTCACATAAGCCAATCAAAAATATACACTTATTTTATGGTTATCAATATCCATTTACAATTAGTAATTCTGATTATTCTGCTTATCTCACCTTATTTGCAGAGAACTTGTTTTATTTTTGTCCTCATCCGTTATCTTGAGTATTATCTGACTTATAGTTTCTTCATTGTTATCAAAGTTTCTAAAATCTTTTGTCTTTGTCTATTTCTGTCTGCAGCAGTTTCATAGTCTCCCACTCAATTGGCTGGCAGCTGGTTTGTGATGCAGAGGGAGGCCAACAGTGCAGGTTCAAGTTCCACACTGACAGGGGTTACAATGAACAGCCCACTTTCTCAACCTTTAATCTTGCCCGAGGTGTGATGACCCTCAGGTTAAAACACCAAGAGGGCTCTCTCTCTCCTGAGAGAATACTCCCATGGCCTCTGGGGCTGTAGCGACTTTATTCTATCACTGTTATCATTTTGAAATTTTCTCCAAATGATCATTTCATTTTCCATTGTATTCCTGGGTGGTCTGGTCATTTGCTGTTTCATTTTGTATCATTGTCAGCATTTCCACCCCACACTACTCATTCCATTTCACTCCCCGATAATTCTTGACTCCGTTGTTATTCATGAATCTATCTGTCTGTGCCTGAAAAATATTCAGTACCTCTGCCTCCAATGCTCTCTGGGGAAGAGAGTTCCAAAGACTCTCAACACTCTGAGAAAAGAAAATAAATCTTATCTCTGCAATAAATTGAAAATGATTTTTAAAGAAAAAAAAAGGCACAAAATGTGCCCTCTCGCTGCACTTTCAATCAACTTTGTAGGAAGGTTGTGGTGCTACAATTGTACTCAGTCTTACTGCGAACACAGTCAGAGTACGGTGCGTGATGGTTTTGTTTTATCTCCTTACCTGAGAAAGGATATACTTACATTTGAAGCAGTTCAGAGGTGTTTCACTTCACTTATTCCTCGGTTGAAGGGCTAAAATTATGAAGGTTTAACATGTTACCCTTTGAATGAGAGGTGATCTTATTGAATCATTCAAAATCTTGAGGAGAGTGGATTGCTGATGGGTGTCTGTATAGTCCAAATGTATTGTCATTAGGCTTTGTGCGTTTGTTGAGAAAGCTTGACTGGGTCATAAACCAGTTATTTGTGGCTGACAGAAGAAATCTGCTTGACTTTTTCCTATCACTGAGCCTGACCCAGTCTGAGACCGATATCATTGGCCATATCACCAGCCTGGTTACACTTAAAATTTGTTGTGGCCAGTAGAAGAGTGGACTAGAAAAGGAAACAGTAACCCCTCCAACCTCAATCAGAACAGGGATGATGAGAAATACACAAAGTGGGAATTCATTGAAGTGGGAAATCTCTTTCCCAGTAGTTTGTGGTGGTTGGATCTTAACATTATTTTGTGGCTGACTTAGTTTGATTTTCGATGGACAGATGAATTATGGAAAATAGGGTATTGACAGAAAAGTGCAGTTGCGACCACAATGAGATGAGCCACGATCTTATTTACTGCTGCAGGAGTGTAAAAGAGTTGAATGGATCATACATGCTCCTCAATCCTATGTTCTGATGTTCAATTCAGCCCCTCGGGTCTGCTACACAGGACCATATCCAGGAATAGGTTGGAAAATATTCTTGGAAAATCCAAGCTGGGTCAGGAAGAGCACACCCACACCACTCCAATCCCTCTTTACAGGCTTTCCCTCTCTGCAATTTCTGCTTCAGATGTGGGTCATGCTGCAGAGCCAGATTAACTGTGAATACAGTCCCCAATCCTTACCCAGGATTCACTCACCCAGGGTTAGCTCTGGTCTCCGTGAATGCAAAATTGCACAACACGACTTCCAGGAAAATAACCAGTTACTTTCTAATAACATAACATAAGAAATAGGAACAGGAGTGGCCCCTCCAGCATGCCCCGTTATTCAATAAGAGCATGGTTGTTTTGCTCCAGTGCTCAACTCCACTTTAATGTCAACTGCTTGTATTCCTCAACTTGCCGATATGTCAAAATCGATCCACCTCATCTGTAAATACGTTCAGTTATCTAGCCTTCAAAACTGCCTCGGTTAGCGAATTCCAAACATTCACTACCTTCTGAGAGAAAAAAATCCTTTGCATCTTCTTTGTTCTGTACCTATGTCCCCAGATGAAAACGGCTTCTCAATACCTACCTTGTCAAGCCTCTCTGCATCTTATATTTTACAGTAATATCACCCTTCATTCATTTCAACTATAATGAATAATCACCTAACCATTTTAGACCTTCTTGATTAGTCAACAGTTTCATTCCAAGAATCAACCTAGTTACTCACTGCACCAACATGCTAACTTTGTGTTTTGTACAATTCCTTTATACAATACTTTTTTGGCATACTCTCCATTAAATAATAGCGTGGCTTTTGCCTCTCAGTGCCAAAGTGCAGGACCTCATACTTTTTGCTACAGTAATCTCCACCTGTCAAATATTTGTTCAGTCACTGCCCTAATCTATATCTCCTTTCAGATTCCTTACATCCTGTCTGCAATTTTCCCTCCTACCTATGTTTGCATCATCCGCAATTTTGGATATATAATGCATTCAAATCTCGCCTTCAAGCCATTGGTATAAATTGTAAATAACTGATGCCATAGGACTGATATTGTGGTACTCCAGTAGGTATATCTTTTTAATCTGATAAAGACCTTCTAATTCCTACTCTCAGTCTTCTATGTGTTAAACAATCCTCATTCAATGCTTATATATTATCCATCACACTGTGAGCTCCTGTCTTGTACAAGAGCCTTTATTTTGTTATATTAAGAACCATATAGAAAACCAAATACACTGTACATCAGTTCCCCTTTATCAAGTCTGCTTGTTACGTTTTCAAGGAACACCAGGAAAAATTTACATGATTTTACAAGGCAAAACATAATTTTTCTTTCACAAAACTTTGTTGAATCTAATTGCATTAAGCTTTTCTAAATGTCCTGCAATTCCTTCTTGAATAAGGGACTGAATGGCCTGTGGGTTCCTGCTTTCTGTCTCAGTCCCTTCTTGAAGACAGCTGCCACAATGGAAGTTCTCCAGTTTTGCTGGAACATTCCTGCAATCCAGAGAGTTATGGAATATTTCAAACACTGCCGCCAGCCACTCTGCCACCACTTCTTTTAGAACTGTGTATCAGTTACTGTTGACTTGCCTGTCTTATCATCAAAAAATGTATTCTTTTTGTTTGAGACTATTTAGGTTTCCCCCTATTAACATCTTACATATATCACTGAAACACTCAGTGTCTTCACTTGTGAGGAACGATGCAAAATACTGGTTTAAATTACCTGCTTGTTCCCTGTAAAAAAATTCCCCAGTCACACCCTCCAGGTATCCCACATATACTTTTGTGACTTTCTTTCTTCAAAGGGTCACATACTCACCTTGAACTATTTCTTATATATACACGGAAAATCTCTTGCTACTTGTTTTGTTTTAATCTTTCTTTCCAATGTACTTTCATAATATGTTTTCTTCCTTTTTTTACTTTATATCATTTGCTTCTGGCTCCGAAACTAAGCATCCCATTTCTGGCTTACACTAGCTCTCAACAATTTGAATTCTTTAGTTTGTGATGAATAGTATTCTTGACAGCCTTTGTGAACCATGGGCAGTTCATCTTCTTATCGAGTCCATCCTTTCAAACAGAAACAATCATTGCTGAGCGTTATGGAATGTCTACTTAAACGTCTGACGCTGTACATCCACTGACCTTTCCGTGGTTCGATTTTCACATCCCGCTTTACAGCAGTTATAAGACAAAAATCTGCAATTTAAATGCCTGGTTCTTTTGAATCGTTCAGGGGAATCTTCCACATGTGGCTGAACACATGATCAGCTGAGAGTGACTCCATTTTCCCAGTTTCTCCGTTTCTGTCATTTCTGTTCAATGATGCCATATTCCAGGGGGAAGCCTTAGGCATGACCTCCTTTTCCCTCCACGAGAAATCCCCTCCTCTCTGGTGCACAGAGCCTTCAGCTGTGACTGACCCATCTCCCGTGTTTCTGTTCTCACCCCTTCCTCTTCTCTCCAGCAGAATGATACCCTTGTCCTCACTTTCCACTGCACTAGAATCCACATTCAAATAATCATCCTCCGTCACTTCCACCACTTCCAGCAGGACAACACCGACACACACCAGTTTATTGTTTCTCAGCTTAGCCCTGCTAGCGTTCTATACACTAGGCAGCCAAGAATCAAAGCCAGGGGAAGATACAGAGGAACAGAAAGATTCCAATTCAAGAAAGAAACAGTTAATTAAATGAGAACATGTTGTGGAAATATGGGAAAAAAGGGATGGGAGTGGGACTAACTGGACGGGTGTGACCTTAGAGGGTCCTAATCACAATAATGACAGCATTAAATAAAGGCATTGCCAGATCAACTGAAATGACTCGTTACATCAAATTCTGACTCTGCCTCACAGAACCGGCCCAGATTCCATAAATGGGACAAGATGTCAGCCGAGCATGGAGCATATGCCAGTGTATTGTTCAGTAAACTGGGCTATCTGCCCAGCATAGACAGCATTGCAAACCTTTGCTAGTATGTTGGTACTATACTTGCACTAGACAACTACCGAGCATGGGGAACATTGTAGCTCATGCTGTAAGTGACAGTAAATGGGCATCCCACAAATTTATATTTGTACTTATGTAAATGTATATATTTATATATGTGTCTATAGCTCCATTGCACAAGGGCAAAGCAAGAGGTTGTGTGTGTGTGTCTGTGTCTGTGTGTGGGTAGGGGGAGAGGGCGGTTGTACATGTGAAAATCATTGTTTGAGCCAGAACACGCATGAAGGAAATCAGTGTATGCATGAAGAACTGACAGTGTTTTGGTAATCAACAGAGACAGACTGAGAGACGTTTCATGGATAGATGTGATTATGTACTTGAGAATATTAAAATAAAAGCATTACCAGATCCAAGAACAATATAGATCAGTGCGCACACGAATTATACATGGATGGGATTTTTGTGTGAGTTCAGATACAAACTGTACAGGATCAACCAAGGTCTACTTAGGCAGGTTTGAAGCTGGGAGTGTCAGCAGCAGATTATTCCCATCATATCATAGAATTCCTACAGTGTGGAAACAGGCCATTTGGCCCAACAAGTCCACATCGCCCCTCCAAAGAGGAGCCCAGCCTGACACATTCCCCTAATCCTGCATTTCCCCATTTCTAACCCACCTACCCGAAACATCCCTGGACATAACTGGCAATTAAGCATGGCCAATCCACCTACCTGCACACCTTTGGACTGTGGGAGGAAACCGGAGCACCCGGAGGAAACCCATGCAGACACAGGGAGAATGTGCAAACCCCACGCAGACAGTCACCTGAGGGTGGAATCGAACGCGGGTCCCTGGTGCTGTGAGGCAGTAGAACCAACCACTGAGCCACCGTGCCATGAACAGCCTCTGGCATGTTATAACGCCAATCGAAAAGGGATTCAGGTTCAGATCTCTGAATCCGGAGTGGTGGAGACAGGCACCTCACTGTGTCCATTGCGGTACCGCAAACGATCCTGAAGAAACTGGCGGGACCCCTGGGGATAGTTCTCTTTTCTTTGTGAAGGGCAGGGCGCCCTGGGCTGGGTTGACCCCGAGAGAGGGGCCCGTGCCTTGGAAAGCGCCGTAGTTCCGGTGAGCCTCGCTGGCCTGTGAAAATCCGGGGGAGATGGTGTAAATCTCGCGCCGGGCCGGACCCATATCCGCAGCAGGTCTCCAAAATTATTGGCTCCGTAAAGACTGTATTTCATAGCTGAAAGTTCAAATAGCAGATGGGATGAGCCAGTGAAGTATATTTTGAGAGTGTCAGTAGTTAAAATTAGGAATGATCAGGGATCAGTTCATGGTCAAAAGAGATCACCACCATTGTAATTCATCTGTTTCAACTCAGATATTGGCTAGGGTTGGGATGGAGTCAGAGGAAGCAAATGGAGTTTGTAACCAGAACAGAAGACAATGACCTCCATGCTCCCAATATTTAAATAACAAGGGCAGGGATGCAATGAATCACCACTCAGCAGAAATGGTATAGCTCAGTACAGAAACCCACGACAACACTACCAGAAGCAAAGGGAGATAATGATCAAGTTAACTGAAGCAGTTAGTAGTGATTCATAGAATTAATATCTGGATTCAGAGTCTTAGCAGGAACAATAACAGCTTAGAGTGTAGAGTAAATGAAAAGACAGTAATGCAGTTAAACATGGTTTATCGAAATAAAAACTGAACAGTGACACTTACCAGGGACACCCACGTCAGCCAGGATAGGATAATAAAAACATTGAATAATGTAAAGTATGCATTGGATCCGACCTGATAATGACATCCCATCATAATATGTAGAAAGAATCCAGACATACATGGATAAACTCCTGTCCATTCTTGGAACATTCCAGTCTATTGTTCTCAGATTCTGATCCATTATTGGAATATTCGAGTTGAATGTTCTCAGATTCTGATCTCTCCTCCCCCTCTCCCTGGAGCTGCTGATCCCTGTTAGTGCTGTAAGTGATGCTCCCGCTCATACTATGGGATAACACATTGAAGCGAGCCTATTTATCATTAAAATATGGACACCCTCCACTGAGATAATTAGAATCTATTTGGACTGAAATTAATCACAGTCACCTAACAAAAAGGCTCAATTAACCCCTTCCTTACATCACTTTTCATATCACAATAAAAGGGAATATTTACTCAGTTTGGATGGAATGAATGAGGTTGCTGAGGAATGGACCATAAAACTTTCCATCTTTTTAATCTTTCTTCGTTGTATATGACAGTAGTGCCAGAGCACTGCAGGATTGTACATGTCCCCGCCTGTTTATAAAGGAAGACAGGGATAAAATAACTGACCAGCTGCATAAAATGACTGGTGGGGACATTTCTAGAAGTCATAAAGCAGGACAACAATATTTATTGCTCATTGACATTGCATGCTGCTGCTCCTTTTGGTAAACACACTGTTATTAAATCCTTTCACAGCCTTGAGACAGAACATTGGGACTGATGTTCAGGAACAGGGGGAAGTAATTCCGTCCCCATGTGCCTGTTACAGAGGGATTGGAAGAGGCCATTCAGTCCACATCAGCCTATTACCACTTGAAGAGGTGGAAAGCTGGAATGTTGGCACATTTTGCAAAGGGGATCATTCAAAACATAGAGAAATGTTATTCAGTTGTAAGAGGTCTTACTAAGAGGACACCCGGAGGACATTGTGTTCTTTGTGTTTCTGTAACTGAGAAGGGAGGCATCTCCATCAAATATAGTTTAACGGCTGCTCAAAATCCATGGGTTACTGCGTCATTTAATGTTTTGAGGCAGTTACAGAGGGACAGGAGGAGGAGACCATTCAGCCTCTTGAGCCTGTAACAGGGGGACAGTAGGAGGCCAGTCATCCTTTCGAGTATGTTACACAGGAACAGGAGGAAGACATTCAGCTGCTCAAGCATATTGCAAAGGAACAGGAAGAGGCCATTCAGCTTCTCAAATCTGTCAAATTGGTCAGCTTGCTTGATCAACTACAGAGAAAAAAAAAACTTCATTCAGATGTTGAAAATGCTTCACAGAAATAGGAGAAAGGATTCAATCAGTAGAAGATGTAAATAACGTGAATAGACAATTCAGTTCCTCAATTCCATTCCACAAGAGCAGCAGGAGACCACACAGCTCTTCGAAACAGTTACTAAGGGACAGGAGGATGGCATCTATTTTCACAAACCTAGTACACAGGAACAGGAGGCAGTCATTCAACTGCTTGAGACGGGTGCACAGGGAAGTTCAGAGGCCAGTGAGCCCCGGGGATCCTGTTACCCGGGAAAAGGAGTCCACTCACTCCCTACCATATGGTACAATGGGAGAGAAGAAGAACTGACTCGTTACAAACAGAAATATATGAATAAGTTGCAGGAGCAGTCTGTTCAATCCTACTCCACCATTCAATAAGACCATGGCTGATCTGATTGTGACACTTAATTCCATTTTACAGAGATTCCCCTCTCGGCAATCTCTGTTCCATTTGTTGGTCATGTACTGGACCAAATGATGTATCTACAGTCACCATGACTCATCTAGAGTGGCCACTGTTAGGGTGACTTCTGTAAAGGCAGCTAGAGACTCAGAGTCAGCAACGTCAAGCAGCACTTAAGAAATTTTGCAGGAGTAGGGGGTCCAAGACTCACTCAGGAGTTTGAACTCTCTCCAAATACAATGGTAAGAAAGTATTTCTTTCATACTGTTGCACAAATAGGCTGACACAACCCCGAAACTATATTAATTACTGTCCATCTATAGCACGAGCAGTAAATCTAACAACACCACACAGTTTAATATCAGTGGTACACGGCTCCTACACTATCACACTGGGGGCTTTTGTCCATTGAAACCTTTATCAAAAATAAACATGCAATTACTCATCGTGTCTAACCCTGACCCCTTGCCACTGAAATCTGCAGATTAGTTTGTTTCCCATCTGGAATATCCCGTGTCTTATTCATTTGGGAAATATCTTCCAACTAGCTGTCTGTCTCTGCAGCAGCAAGCGAGTTCTCTTTCAATCGTTACTTTTAACCCTTGCCCATATGTTTGTCCCTTACTACAGATCTGTGAGAAAACTGTACTTCTATAAGAAATCTACACGTATACACTCTTTCTCCTTCAGTGTGAAGGACAATGCTGACTGAAGTAGGAAGCCCTGGCTGACTGGTGATATTGAGGCTTTGTTCAAGAAAATGGTGGCACAGTTGGATCAAGTGAACCCCTTGAAGAGAAAATGGGGTGTAGGAGTAACATTTCAGATGGAAATCCGGAAGGCAAAAATGGGACATGAGGTAGCTTTGGCAGATAAAGTTATGAAAAATCCAAAGAGATTCAAAAGTATGTTAAGGGCAAAAGAGTTACTGGGGAGAAATTATGGCCCCTCAAAGGTCAATGAGACTATCAATATAGGTAACCACAGGAGATGGTAGAGATCCAAAACGATTATTTCATCTTAGTAGTACAGTGGAGAAAGGTTAGGAAACTCGGGAAAATAAATAGTGATGTCTTGAAACAAGTCCACATTACAGAAGAGACGGCATTGAAGGTCTACAGGAATATATGTCCCCAGGGCCTGATCAAGTGTACCGCAGAGGGATCAGGTGGAGGCAATGGCCTAGTAGTATTATCGATGCACTGTTAATCTGGAGAGCCAGATATCGTTCTGGGAACCCAGGTCCAAATCCCACCACGGCAGATGGTGGAATATAAATTAAATAAATATCTGGAATTAAGAGTCCAATGATGACCATGAACCCATTGTTGATTGTTGGGAAAAACCTGTCTGGTTCACTAATGCCCTTCAGAAAAGGAAACTGCCTTCCTTACCTGGTCTGGCCGACATGTGACACCAGACCCACAGCAATGTGGTTGAGGCTGAACTGCCCTCTGGTCAATCTGGAATGGACAATAAATGCTGCCTAGCCAGAGATGTCCTCATCCCATGAATAAATAAAGAAAAAAAATTGTGGGAAACTAGGCAAGAATTTCCAGGGACCCAGCAGAGGTATTTGCAGCTTTGTCTTCTGTATTTCCCTCAAACGTAAAAGGCTGAGGGTGACCTTATAAAAGTTTACAAAACCGTGAGGGACATGGATAAGGTGAATAGCCAAGATCTTTCCCCCAGGGTATGGGTGTCCAAAACTAGAGGGCATAGGTTTGAGGTGAGAGAGGGAGGATTTAAAAGACACCTGAGGGGCAAATTTTTCCACACAGAGGATGGTGCATATATGGAACAAGCTGAAAGAGGAGGTGCTAGATGCAAGTACAATTATAACCTTGAAAAGACGTTTGGCAAGTACTTGGAAAGGAAAGATTTACAGAGATATGGACCAAGCTCAGGCACATATGACTCATTCTGTTTAGCAAATCTGGACAGCTTGGATGAGTTGGGTCGAAGGATCCAGTTCCGTGCTGCATGATTCTATGATTCCAGTTACTGGAGGAGGAGGTGAGGCATGTTGTAGAGACTGCAGTAAGTTATAGAGATAGTGATGGTAGGCAGATTGGAATACGTCTCAAATATTTGGAGAGGTAGGGATGGGAGGAAGTGATGGAGATAGCAACAGTGACAGGAGTTACAATGAATGAAGATACTGGTCCACGAGTATCCACAAAATACATATAGTGATGGAGGGGGAATACAGAACAGAAAGATCAGAGGCAGAATTACCGTCCTCTCATGGGACATTTGGTTTCATCTCTGTTGTACTGAACCTCACTAAGACAGCATAGATACTGGAGGAGGACATTACTGAGATGAGGCATGTTGTAGAGACTGCAGTAAGTTACAGAGATAGTGATGGTAGTCAGGATTTGAGTACGTCTCAAATACACGGAGGGGTTGTAGGGAGGGGAGGAAGCAACAGAGATAGAAACAGTAACAGGAGTTAAAATGAATGAAGATACTGGTCCACAAGACACGAAATAAATAAAGTGATGGAGGAGGAACTCAGAACACAAGATCAGAAGCGGCATTACCACCCTCTCATGGGACATTTGCTTTCACCTCTGTTGTACTGATCCTCACTAAGACAGCACAGGCCTGGTTTGATAACTCTGAACTTCCTATGCTTTTTTAGGAAGGCATGGTACAACTTAACTTAAAGTAAGCCTCCCATGAGGGGTTAGTGATTGATTTTAGGATCTTTCCATACTGTGGTCCTCATTCAGCACTGAAACTATGTCATGTCTTGTGGGCTGATGTTTTGAGCCCTATAATTGCTCTCTGCTCTGTTCACTCTGTGTGATCTTACCTTGCTGCAGGATTTATTGAAGGCTCCAGATCTCCCTGTTTTTTGTCTGTTTGGCTGATCAAACACCTTAAACATAGCGATGGGTGAGACAGGAGTTTGAAATGCTGCTGAGCCAGGAATATCCTGAACAGCTACAGGTGACAGAGAAATAGACAGACTCAGATTTTTTTTTTCTGAAGAAGGGTCTAGGCCTGAAACGTCATCTTTCCTGCTCCTCTGATGCTGCTTGGCCTGCTGTGTTCATCCAGCTCTACACCTTGTTATCTCAGACTCAGATATTAGACTGATGCAGTGAGGATTAAACATGTAGAATGGAACTGAGTCCAGAAAAATTGAGAAAATTCCAGTCTCCATCCCTGGCCTCTGCTGCTTCGACTCTCTGGAGTGGAGAATTCTGTTAGCTCAGGACATAGAGCACCTGCAAGAGCAAGAGGCGCTGACAGAAGCAGGAATTAGAGTCACACAGTGACTGACAACACACGGAGAGATACTGAGAGCAAGAAGATTTCAGGATCACACAATTGTGACGGAAGAATGGTTTTTGATTAATGATGCAGTGGTATCAATACTCAGCGATGAACAAGCTATGAGTGGGGCAGGCAATGGCCTGTTGACGTTAAACCAGGAAAGT